CATCTTGCGGGATACACGGATCGTATTCTTCGTTATTTTGTACTAGTTTAATCACTTTCTGGATGACGTAATCTTCTTTGGAGAAATAATGCCCATGAAAATCATTAAAGCACTTTTCAAGTCGACTCATTCGAAGAAGTTCTATCGAAGGATATATCAAATATCCTTTCGAAACAACTTTAATCCAGTTTGTTTCTGTATTTTCATTACTAGCAATGCCAGTGCGTTCTCCCAAATGTGGATATTTCCTCTTAAAACGGTGTGCAATATATCCTGCGACGTACTGCAAGCCTTCTTCTTGTACAATATGAGACGCGTTTTTACTGTCTGACGTAGAATTTTCAGAATGTACACCTTGCATAAAATCGAACAGTTCATCTACATCGTAGTCATCGTCGAAATCTTCCTGAATCGATTCGTCATTATTATCATACGCGGAATCCTGTTGTAATTCTTCCGGGGAAATATTTATGATGCTGACGAATAATTCTTTCGTTAAAATTATTTCTTCTTTATCAGAGTGGTCTTCTTCAAATTTGAAATTGGTGCATTCATTAGTCGAAAGAATTGAATTAGTTTTAGTGGATTCTGGACTGTTCAATTTAATTCCACGTGTTGGAGTTGATGTGCACATTTGCTTCAAAGTTGATGCAATTACTGTTGGGATAACCGCTGTTGAAGTTTTTCGTGCTGCTGACGTCGATGGAATTTGAGAATCTGCAGAAATTGATGACAAATCCTCAGCAGTATATGAAGACATACAACTTGTGTTCACATCTTCCTCCGTATTTCGATTCATAGTAAACACTGCGTGCGAATGTTTACCTAGGACATACCATCTGAGTCTATATCTGAATTCGTAGCCTGAAGGATGATCTTTGCAGGAACCCATTGCTCTTATATATGCAAAGAAATTTTTCAATACATCCTGCTGAAGACATCTTGTTAAAAGGTATTGAAACTGTTGCTCATGTGTCCTTTTTAGCTGATCATATAATCCTCGAAGTGATGCATTGCTAATTAAAATTCCTTTTTGGAATGGCATTATTGATTTTTTTGAGCAGACTTTCATATTTTCAACGTACAAAGTCATTAAGATTAAACTTTGCTCCTGTTTTTCAATGTCCACTCCGAAACCGTTAACGCCTGGATGCGCACCATATTTTTGTTGTGAATTGTGTACGTCAAACCAATTATTGACAGTTGAAACAAAATCTGAAAATTTGGCATATTCACGAACTTTTAAAATGCCACGTTCACCAGCCCATTTAATTGCTTTCGCCGCTGTGTGTGACCAAATTTGTGCCGCTGGCCGGACAGCCTGCCTAAGCGAATTACGAGCATCCAAAATCCGTTGCGTTATACGATGTGCAACATGAAGATCGCCGTCTTTGTTCATGTCAATAATTGCTTGAAAGATTGCAGCAGTAAATGGTTCACTGCAATTCGGCAACAATAAAGCTTTGTCGATGAACCAATTCCTCAGCAGCTTTAAAAGATGTGGAACGTCAGCAAAAACGAATATCTTGGCATTCTTTATCACGGGATGTTCAAAGAAGTGATTTTCTGGGGTAATATTCAATTCTCCCCATACCCCTTTATTACCCATATCACTAGTGATGGCAATAACCTCGTATCCTGCATCATATAAACGATTTACACCTTCTATAAGTATGTCTTTCGTCATTGGCTGATCAAATTTATAATAAATAGGTTGCTTCCATTTGCTGAATAATCCGCGGACCATAATTACTTGAACTTTTTTACATGGGCCTACTAGTTTCTCAATCTTTGAATCGAAGCAGACCTCTGGAGATAGGGCCATCTCATCGAAAGTGATAACAGTGATTTTTTCGAACGATGTAAGCTCTTTGCCCTTCTCTCGCATCACTGCAAGAACGTCTGATAAAAATCCTTCCCGGATGTCGAATTTCTTCAAAGCCACTTTCTTAATGTCGACAATGATGGTAAAGGATAATTTAGCTTCAATCTTAAATACATATATGCTTTTGGGCTAACACTGCGTAGTGAAATGGCTGAAGCATAGTCATCAATCGACCAGTGAACCCACCTTCGACGTTCAACGATGCATCGTATTTGACCCTCCGTGAAATATGGTTTGATTATTTCTTTTACCTGCTCTTCGGACAGTTTTTGCACAAGATTTTTGTTGATATTGACTGTCACAGATCTAGCATGGAGATCATTGAGTGTGTTTTTCAATTCCTCGTTTTCTCTCATAAGATTTTTTATATGGTCATTTTTCTGCAATAATTGCAATTTTAATGCATCGCATTTCTGTTGAATCGATCGTCGATCTTCAAAACCGCGTAGCTTAGACAGTACGTGAAATTCACCAACTGTACGGCGATGTTGTAATTCAGCCATCAGCCAGTCAATTGTGACGTTCGGGTCATTATTAGTTGTTGACTTGTAGACGCTGCCGCTAATACTGCTACTACAATTTTCCATCATAAATCTAGAAAAATATATTCATATATTTAAAATGTTTCAATATTAAATATACGTGTAAACATGATAAATATATAATGCCATCGAAAGTGTGTGAACGCAAAGACATTTCTCAAACTGTATCTTGTTGGAAAGCACCCATTATGTGAGATCTTTGAACTATATTATACAAATCGTTTTTTAACGGGATTTGCAAAAAGATCAATATACATACCGCTGTTTACGCTTCCACGATGGAGTACCCTCTTCGCTGGCGCATTCTTGGACTTTCGATGCAACCTCGATGCCCCTTTTCACAGCAGTTCTGGACGATATCTTTCCCGCTGTACTTGTACGTAGGATGTTTCGGCAAACAACATTTTTCTTTCTTTGAGATCTGCAATAAGAATGATTATTCACTCTGCTAACACAAGTAATATTAAAGAATAAGTTACGGAAAATGGAATCGTTAATTTCAACATGCCTTCTCGGAAAAGTAGCACCATATACATTGTCACATGCATTATATGAGCTCGGTGGTGTTCGACATATTAAACATATATCATCCAGTCGTTGACTGCAATAAAAGTATGAAAACATGCAATAAAAGTATGAAAGAACATGCAATAAAAGTTTGAAAGAACATGCAAGAAAAGAATGCTCTAAATTATATACATGTAGAAAAACACTTCTAATCGCAAGAAATATCGACACAAAATTGCATAACGATTCGATAAAACTTCACCCTTAATACTCACATTTAAACATCAGCATGTACAATTTTCAGAAAAAGTCACTTTTATGAATCATTACATATTAATTTGTATTGGAAGGCTATTCTTTGAAATATTATTTGTCATAAAAGAAATAAAATAATTTTGCATTATTTTCTTAATTTTCAGAAACATTTGAAGCCTATCCAGACAAACTTGTATAGTCGCATAAACATAAAGAAATTGATTGGTCCATACGCAAATGCATAAAGAAATGGACCAATTTCTAAGTATACTACCTAAGTATTTAAAAAAACGTTGCAAAACGCGATATTTTAGGAAAATCATTTTAGCTCCACTTTCATGCAATTTCAGTTTCAAATTTGGGCTAATTTATGATTCTTACCTGCTCGACCGATATTCCGATGTCATTCGTTTTTTACCTGCATTCGATGAACCACCGACGCTATCGTTTTGCAAAGATTCTTCTGCCATTGGTTGATTGCCTGAATCCATTTCAGTAATCGATCCTTCTTTCATACATGTTTTGACAGGAAGTAAAAAATCTTTGTAGATTACTTTGCAGTTCATGCGAACGGTATCGCCAATGCTGAAAATAAAAAATTATACTTATTATGAAATTATAACATAATAAGAGTGTACATTGTAATATGGAATATATTTTACTGATATTCATAGTTACCTATTTTCCGTTGATGACAAAAGTAACGTTGGAACTGCACTTGGAATAAGCTTTCGTCTTCGAATGCCACCTCTATTTTTATGATTCCTCTTTCCTTTTAAGAATGAATCTTCCGTGAAATGTGCAGAACAGATTCTTGCTGAAAACAATGTAAGTGATATAAACATACATTATAAATGTTCAAAATGGGGATAAGAAAGATATGTTTTATACAGTGCAGTAAGGTAAATATTGTCATGCAAAACAAAAATGCAATACATGAAATAATTTGACATATGTACAGAATATTGTCACATTGATATTTACATTTTGAAGTATATTTACATTTACAATATAATATATTTCTTTAATTCTTCAAAACTAAGAATTGCATCACATTCTGCTGTAAGTACAATCTTTGAATAACAAAATATGACATAAAAACCGAGATAATAAATCCATTGGATCAAACATGATTCTGTGTAAAGTAAGCTAAGTGCAATTCGATTCAACAAACTATTCTTCGACTGTGTATCACTGAATATAGATAAATCTTAATAACTCCTATTCTCAAAGTTTCAGTTCAAAAAAAGAAAAACATGATTCATTTATATTTCTTGCCCTAACCTATAAAATTATCTCTCGGTTTTACAAATTATTATCTTTTAATATTATTTAATAAGACTTGTAGGATTACCATTTTTAATATTTGTAGGCAGATGAATCTCTCCAATTCTTTGAATCCATCCCTCACGCATTATAGGATTTTCGGGCAATTGGAAGAAACTTACTTGTTCCGTTGCACATATCTCTCTAGTGTTTTTGCAGCATTTCACTACGCAGCGTACCATTTTTAATAAACGCGAATTCAATAACTCGGCAGTAGCAGTATCTCGACACTCTTGTCCTCAAAATTTCGCTCGATCCGTTAGACACGTTATTCTGCTGCGGTAATATCCCGAAAGAGAAAGATGATGCAATCACGGGACATGAGACAAAGATACCGTTAACGCAGTCGAGACAACTTGCCGACGTTAAACATTTCATTTTTCATGGTTGGCAGCACTACGTTTTTAGCGACACTTCGGCAAGAAAAGGGGCGTGGTTTAACCAAACCGAGCACACCATGTATACTTCCACCATGGTCCGTAGTTTCATCTGCGGAGAACGGTAAAGAACCGCGACTTTATTGCTCGTTTAACGATTTGTGAAATAATTTCCGCGCCAATCAGCTGTATAAATTCATTCTGTATGTCTGGGCTGGTATACATAGCATTGTGAGCCGAATTTAACAAATGCTCCTTCAGCACCTCATCACCACTTTGAACGCGAAATCTTAATAGAGCACGAAAATTGCCATCGTTGTGTGTTGGTTCTTCTAAAGTCAAACGACCACTGTCAATATGCCCTTTAAGAGCTAATTCTTGTCGACCGCAAAATTTAAGTGTCTGAATAATCGTTCGCAACTTTTTTCTATTTTCATCGGCTTCTTTCTTTGTTTTCGTATTAATCTGCAAACATACGTCCAGAGTTTTTGAATCGAACACCGATAAAAAATTTACGGCTGAAGTACACGCATCTTTGTGGTAATTGAGTTTGGCGTGATTGGCAAAACTCTCGGTAGCTTTTTTCCAATTTGTGAATGGAGATCGTACAAATTGATTAACCTGCTGATGAGAACCTTTTCCTCTTTCTAAATTAGTCAAAAATAAAACGCAAGTTTTACAAAATAATCCTTTATGGATATCTGAATAGGCCAACCATGGGTAATCATTCAACCACTTTTGTTGAAAATGTCTTGTAAAAGACTGACTTTGCTGAACAGGAAAAATGTAAGTAAGAGATGGGACCCATGTGTTTCGAAATACGTTTTCTTTTTTGACATCGTCAATAATTTCTGCATTTGGTCCACCATAAACATAAGAACCGATAAGTTTGTTAAGAATCATAAGTTGCTGTGATAATGAAGTTGATAGTAAAGATGAATCAACAGCTTCATTATTTTTATTTCTCTTATTTTCAGTGCTTGTAATACTACTACTGTGACCAGGTATATCATCGTTTGGGTGCTGTGTTTCTATTCGCAATTTTTTAGCAGAGTTTTGAAAAAAATCACGAATATCCGATTTCTGCTTAGATTTACGACTACTCATCTTAACTTAAAAAAAAAAGTTTTTCGGCTATTTTAGAACAAATGTACTGTAACTGGAAAGAGTGGAAACCGATATGATATATTTTCAAAATGTGGTATGTACTATCCCACAGGGCACAAAATACTAAAAGACGACGAAAAGATGTCTTAAATAAGTCTTTAAATCAAATAAAAAGATGTCTTAAAGACGACCGAAAATGTACAGATTTGGTCGTCTTTTAGTCGTGTTCTAGTCATCTTTTGGCTTGACAGATTAGTGACTAAATTCGGGTCATGAGCCGACTTTTAGTCGACTTTTTGTCGACTATTGTCTGTAACTAAAAGACGTCTTTGACGAAAATATGTCCAGTTTTAGTCGTCTTTTAAACATCTTTGTGCCCTGTGGGACGTGGGATGTAGTCCACTTTACAATAAAATCAAGAAAATTCAAATCAATAATATTGCTAGGCAATGATAGCATAACGCTGTATAACGCATTCGCTTGTAAAGTAGTCACGGCATAACCCTGGCGGGCCAACTAGAGAAGGTTTCGACATACTTGACAAATACTAGATGTATTCCGAACAAATTCTTGATTGAATATACATAACTAGACAGATTTTTGACATATAGACGTCCAAATATAGTTCAGAACCAACATAAACGTCCAGCATAAACGTCCAGCTCTTGAATAGGCAGTCTAGATTTTGTCCGTCTAGATTTTGTTGAAGAACAAATGTGTCTAGATTATGGCCAAATTCAGTCCAGGTTATTTAACACTGGATAAAATTCGTCCATTCGTAAATTTTGTCCAAGACTTGTTAAGAAAATTACTGTCTACACCCTGCACAAAACTAGTTCAGATTGTCCATCATTTTTTAGCAGAAATCTGTCTAGATTTTATCTAAAACTTGTTTAGAAAACTAGCGTCTACATTCTATTCAAAACTGGTTTATATCGTCGAACACCTTAAGAAAGATGTCTAGATTTTATTCAGGACTTGTCCAAGCTATTGCATTAATGAATGCAGTTCGCTGTGGTTCACATGTATGTACATACGCATTTTTACACACATACATGCATTTTTACACACACCAACGAGAAATTTTGAAAGTTTAAGGAATAAAGAAAGCATTAAAATTCTTAAATATTTTATAATTTTATATTATTATAGTTATATTATATTTATATTATTATATAAACAAATAATTAAAAGACAAAAATAGAAATATTTTTTATAATTCAAATTATTTTATTATAAGCTTAATCAATTTGACAATGATTTGCTATTGGCGCTAGATATATTTTATTTTGTACTGTAAGAGATACAGCCGGACATCGAATGTTCTCAATTAATAAAAAATGCAGTTTATCACCCGGCTTTAAGTTTACAATATGCCTTGCTATTTGTATTGATTGTTCTACTTCATGTTCTAGCACAAATGCTCCACAGATCTCGCTGTTCTCGTGACTGAAGTTCACAAATCGTAAAATAGAGCAAAATGTTTCCTCCCAAGTATAAATTATACTATCATTAGAAAGACTATTAGGATTTGTGAATTCTATAGAAGTATAAGGTACACTATTATATTAGGTGAAGTAAAAAGTTCTGAGCGTTTTCCGCTAGATGTCTTTAATGAACCATATCTCACGATGTATACATCGCATCGGGTCATACGATACGGCGATTGAAAGGTGACATTACGCTTCAAAAAGGTTCTGTGACAGTTTTGTGTTTGGTCAAGCCAGTTGTGTGTTACAGCGTTCCAAAATGGAGGTAAAAAAAGAGAAAATTCGATACATTCTTCAGTACCACTACGACCAAGGTGAAAAGGCGGAGCAGGCGGCCAAAAAAATTTGAGCTGTTTATGGACCCAATACAGTATCAAATGCAACAGCAAAGCGGTGGTTCCAACGATTCCGTTCTGGTAATATGGACGTCGAAGATGAGGCACGCTCTGGTAGGCCAATCGTCGAAAATGTCGATAAAATCAAATCATGGAAATCGTCGAGTCGGACCGGCATGTGAGCACTTATTCCATTGCCCAGGAACTGAAGATTAGCCAAAAAACCGTTTGGAACCATTTGCATAAGGCTGGTCTCAAGAAGAAGCTCGATGTATGGGTGCCACACGAATTGACGCAAAAGAACCTTTTGGACCGAATTGATGCCTGCGATTCTTTGCTGAAACGTAACGAAATCGACCCATTTTTGGAGCGGATGGTAACTGGTGATGAAAAATGGGTCACATACGAGAACAACAGCCGAAAAAGATCATGGTCTAATCGCGGTGAGCCGGCCCAAACGATCGCCAAGCCCGGATTAACGGCCAAGAAGATTTTGCTGTGTGTTTGGTGGGATTGGAAAGGAATCATCCACTATGAGCTGCTCCCATCGGGCCAAACACTTAATTCGGACCTCTATTGTGAACAAATGACCAGATTGAAGCAGGCGATCGACCAGAAGCGGCCAGAATTGGCCAATAGGAAGAGTGTTGTGTTCCATCAAGACAACGCCAGGCCACACACATCATTAACGACGCGCCAGAAGCTCCGAGAGCTTGGATGGGAGGTTCTATTGCACCCGCCGTGTAGTCCAGACTTGGCACCAAGCGATTATCACCTTTTCAAGCATTTGCAAAATTTTCTTGATGGTACAAAACTGGCCTCAAGAGAGGCTTGTGAAAATGAGCTGGTCAAGTTTTTTACGAATAGGGACGAGGACTTCTTTAATCGCGGAATTATGAAATTGCCTTCAAAATGGACAAAAGTTATCGAACAAAACGGCGCATATTTGATCTAAATCGGATAATCCTAACTATGTTCATTTCATCGTCAAAATAAAGCGAAAAAACGCTCAGAATTTTTTACTTCACCCTATATAATATTTTATGATATACTGACAAAAATTCGCAATGAATACCCATCCGATTTAACACAATATTTTCCTCTACTGAAAGTTCTCTGGTAATCTGTTTCCCTAAAAAATAGATATCGCCAACCTGATATGTCACTTGTTTTCTTGTACTAGTTAAGAGAGTTTCTAATTGTGATTTTGCCGCACCGGATAAGTCAATATTACTGTATAAAGCATGATGCACTAACCATTGAATTAGGTGGCGATGAATAATTTGCTCAGTAGCATTTTGAGGTGATGTAACATGCATTCTAATACACTTGTTATTCCATGACTCAAAATTGAAAGTGAAATACACCCATAGAGGGCCCCAGTTGCGAACACAAGTAGTGAAATGAAGAAGAAGATGCACATTGTAATACATATGTTGGATACCAAAATATTCTTCAAATAATGTTACATATTTAAGCAGACAATTTTCAGCAACATTAATTTCATGTCGAGTAATTTCATCTTGAGATAAGAGAAAAGTTCCAAACGAGAGCATAGCTAAGTGGTTTATGTATTTATGAGAGATTAAGCCAGTAAGACATGGTATATTATAATAAAAAAGCCAATTTCGCCATTCTGATCCCTTCCATTGAGCTCTGCGTTTAATATCTTGGGGTTTCCTTGCTATGCCAGTAGGTGTTTTGATAGTCCTCATTCTTGCATTAATAATTCTTATTTTTTCTTCAGCTGAAAGAGCTCCAATACCAGGCTTCAAAAGTAATTCTGTATGATGCTGTGCATTATCTTCATGTATTGCATGCAGATCATCAACAGCTGATCCAGAAAGCAAGCCATAATGATGTAAATTCATCAGTGCTGCTGGACCTTTGACTCCTTTCACAGGTGTACCGATGTGATAAGCAGCTATCATATTTTGCAAAATGCTCTCATTAGTTCGCAATTGTGGGACATTCATCTCAGGATTAGGCAATATAGGATATCGGATTCCGCTATTAATAGAAACTCCTAAAATATCACAAAATGTACAACCAAAATAACCATTATATTGAGTCATGTTTAACAATTTCCATCTTTCTTTTGAGTCAACACAGTGACAAGTAGGAATAAATCTGCTGCGGACAGTATGAACATTATCTGCTTTCCACTTTACTCCTATTGAACTGAGATAGTTGGCTTCTTCCACAAAAGGTTGGAGAAATACATTCATGATTGGGTTTATTGTATCCACCCAGACACCAGCAAGAAAAAGATACTTTTGTCGAAGATTTGGTGGAAGTTCATATATATTAAGTTTATTTTATAAGTTCTTATATATATATAGGTAAAGCCTCCAATTTTGCACCTTTAGTAATTTTTACACCGTCAAGATTAAAGACATATGTGTAGTCGTACTCCGATCGCACAATATCATTTTGTAACAGTTTATTGTATTCTTGTCCATCAAAAATATCTTGCAAAGAATTAGGATTATGCTTTTTCCTTGATTGACGATACTTTAGTTTATCAGAAATTCCTGGAATAGCAAGGAACTGCTGAAATTGTTTCTTTAAATCTAAGATAATGAAATATTTAACATAGTTTTTTGTTCTTCTGTTTCCACAAACAACTTGATAATTTAATTGTTCTCTGAGTCCCAAGTAATTCAAGCATTTGTTACAGTATGCATGATATCGTATCATTGTTGAATCTTTACGTATAGTTTTCCATAACTCTTTTTTTGATTTTGGTAAACATTTTATATCGACAAGAGCATTTTGTGACTGAAGATGGTGAACAATATTTTCATAGGTCCAGCTGTGACGAACACTCAAAGCCAGAGTAAATACAAGTATATCCCTTACTCGGACATCATTAGACAATTGTAGAGAAGTATCCAATCTTGAGTGATCAAGACTTAAAAAGTTGGATATATTATCAGCATAGTTGTTCTCTTGACCATTGTCTGTTTCATGTTCATTGCATTCAACACTCGCATCATCGCACTGAAAAGAAAACAGACATAAAGTTGATGTACAAAAATATATTAATATGCCTTAATATATGAAGTTTCACCAAACATTGACAAATTGAAATGGATATTTAGATATTCTCGCATTATCATTATTAATAAAAAATATATTATAATTTTATATAAAAATATTATTTATATACATA